CATCTCCTCTGGATTCCTGGCTCCAAACCCACCCTTTCTCCTTTTTCTATTGATTTCTGCCTCCAAACCCACCCTGCTCCCTTTTCCTTGGGATTCCTGGCTCCAAACCCACCCTGCTTCCATCTTCTCTGGATTCCTGGCTCCAAACTCACCCTTTCTCCTTTTTCCATTGATTTCTGGCTCCAAACCCACCCTGCTCCCTTTCCTCTGGATTCCTGGCTCCAAACCCCCCTTTTCTCCCTTCTCCAGTGATTCCTGGCTCCAAACCCACCCTACTCCCATCTCCTCTGGATTCCTGGCTCCAAACCCACCCTTTCTCCTTTTTCCATTGATTTCTGCCTCCAAACCCACCCTGCTCCCTTTTCCTTGGGATTCCTGGCTCCAAACCCCCCCTTTCTCCCTTTTCCATTGATTCCTGCCTCCAAACCCACCCTGCTCCCATCTCCTCTGAATTCCTGCCTCCAAACCCACCCTGCTCCCATCTCCTCTGAATTCCTGGCTCCAAACCCTCCCTGCTTCCATCTCCTCCTCCAAGCAATGAATCTTTGTCCCCCACACCGAAATAATCCCAATTTTTGGAACACCCCCCTCCCAGCGCCCTCACGGCGACGGGAAGCACGGGCGGGGCTTCCCCTCACGCCGTTTTTTGGCGGGAAACCGAAGCTTTGCGCCTGCCAGACTGAATTCCTGTGGGAAACGGGGTGTGTTAACATCTCTGTGGTGGTTTCCCGATCCAGGGGAAGGTCCGGGTGATCCCTGAGGATTACACCACCACCTACACCTGCCCCTCTCCGGGCTACGACTGCCACGTCGCCGAGAGCCGCGAGCCGGGATCGGCCGCGCCCAGCCCCTGCCAGGCCTTCGAGCAGAGCCAGGTACCTCCAGCAGAGACCTGACCCTCCCCTGGGGGCTCCAGCCTCGAGTTCCCCTCATTCCTCACCCTGCTTATCCGTGGTTTTTTTCCCCCTCTTTCCCAGTACTACGTGTACGAGGTGTCCGGCGGCAGCCCGGCCCAGCGGCCCCGGCAGGTCTGTCCCTACATCCTCCTCTGCTGCCAGTACAGGGACCCCAAGGACGTGACCATGGAAGACCTGTAAGCAGCAGCTCCCTGGCATTCCAAAAATAAATTGGCTTTTGTGGCCTGTTTCCCCCTTTTTTTCTTTTTTTTTCCTCCCCATTCCTAAACTTTTCTTTTTATTTCCTTCCCCGCAGGCCCGAGCGCGACCACCAAGGTAGGAGTTCCTGGGGGTTTTGTTGGTTTTTTTGTGTTATTAATGTGCTTTAATCACTTTGTTCCCCTCTCCTGCTTTTCCTGAGCTGTTTTCCCGAGCTGTTTTCCCTCTCTCTCTCTCCTGTAGGACTGTACTGCCCATGGAGAGGAGCACTCGCCATCCAGGGAAAGCTGCTGTGCAACATCACCCTGAGGACCCCCTACAGCTCCTCCCTCCCAGCCCAGCTGTGAGTTGGCCTTTTCCTTCCTTTCCTTGGAATTTTTGGGGGTCCCTGCACCAGTTTTGTCTCTGTCAGGACAACCCTCGGCGCCAGATGAGGATATGGGATCATGGAATGCTTTGGGTGGGAAGGGACCTCACAGATCATCCACTTCCATGGGCAGGGACGCCTCCCACTATCCCAACCTGCTCCAAACCTGGCCTTGGACACTCTTCCAGGACCTGTGATTTGAGGATTTAAGGGTCCTGGGTTACAACAGGAGCCTCCACTCAACCAAGTGCTGGGAAAGCTGCACCTTCCCTCTGGTTCCACAGGGACAGGATTCCCTGCATTCCCTGCTATCCCTGATCCTGG